ACCAAGCGATTGTTAACTATTATTACAATTTAGTGCAAGTTGGCGCAAATTATTAATGAAATTTGTAGTTTTTTGAACTAATAATTCATCTTTAAGGGTATAATAAAATCATAAAAAATAAATAGATAATCTAAAGAGAGCTAATCCTAGAGTGTAATAAGATATTTTTTCTGATACTTTATTTAATATTTCTGATTTTAAATCCTTTAAAATTTAGTTTAAGTTTTGAAAAATAATTAATAGTTAAACGAAATTCAAATGTGTTTTTTAAGAAAAATTATAAGTTATATTATAATATGAATTATGATAATTTATTTGTTAAATTATAGTAATTATTACCACTTTGATTAAATTACTTAGAGTCAAACAATATCTTTATTAATAAATGTCATATTAGATAGTAAAATTTTCTGCTTGCACTTTATTTACACAGAATGACAAATAGTAAAACATTTTTTATAAACTTTAACATATTATTAAAATTTATGATTTAAACTAAAATATATAAATAAAAAATGTTTAGATACATTATAAAAAATTGTAAATTCCATTAATAATTGGAAAATCCAGTAAATACAGATGTCAGGATAATAATTCTAAAAGTTATAATGAATTTGTTAAGTGTACTTGAGAATACATTAAGACGAATATTTAAATTATTATATGTATTATTATATATTATAATTATATATATTTAAAAGTACTGAATATCTTCATCATCATTAGGAGGAGGTTGAAACTTTGGTGGCAATGAAATTTTAATTTCATCAGGATTATTTGGATTAAAAATAAAGCCATATTTATTATTTAAATCTACAAATCCTATAATATACTCATTAAAGTAATTAAAAATTTTGTGAATTTTTTCTGGGGCTGACATGTTTGCTTCTAAAGTATTGTTAATATTATTATAAGCAATAAATTGTGTGTTTTCAATTTTTATTCCAGAGTGAATTTCAAAAAAATGATTTAAATCATTGTTAATACATTTTAGCTGCTCACTAGTGCAATTACTAGTCTGTATATATATATTCGTTGCAAGTGTTAGTAAATTTTCAATGACTTTATGAACTAAGTTTATGAGTTTTGTTTTATATTCTATGAGCATTTTAGGATTTAACCATTTAGAAAAATGAAGTAATGAATTTTGCATCATTTTTATACATTCATATGAGTTAGAAATAGTTTCTTTAAATTGATTTTCACAAATTTCATATTCCATTGTTTGACACAAAGACCATAATTCTTTAGTGTAGTGTACAAATGATTTTAAACCTAATCCATAAAAAAAACATAAGAGTAAATGATACTGTCTTACTTTTTCTTGAAAATTTTCTTCTGTTACAAGCTCGCTTACATTTTCTGGAAATAAGTTTAGTTCGTCAATCTTATAAGGCTGACCGTTTTCATAGAAATCAATTAAGTATAGATTATTTAATACATTTTTTAATTCAAAAAACAAATTTTTCCATAAAGGAAATTTTACTAGGCAATTTAATTCGTAAACTCGTTCGTCTCCTTCTATTAGGCTAAAAATGGTATACGATGTTAAGAATAAAATTAAACAATTTCGGAACATGATTTATGTAAAATAACGTTTTCGTTAAATATATAATTATTTAGTTTTTTTATTTAATCCTTGCTTTTGCTCGAATATTAAAATTAATATATATATATATATTAATTTTAAGTTAAGTATAAATTATTTCCACTATAAATAATTGAAATTCAACATCAACTTTAGTATTCATGTATATCAATATAAACTTATAATTACATTTATAAAATATTTCAACATTTTCATTTAATATGATTCAAATTTTATATTTATTCAAGTGATTTGTAGAATCATTTTAATATAATATTGAAGTACATTTTTAAATTATTACAATCTAAATAATTTTATTTTACATTAAATATAAAATAATTTTAAAACAAGGAAATTTTTCAAAAATAGATATTTATATATATACTTTTCTAAATCTGCACTAAAAAATATTGGATAACTTTCTGTCATCACTCATTTACTGTCATATATTATCAAACTTCAAAAATACTGCTATATAGTTTATGACTGTACTGCAATGACGTGTTATCAACGTATCAATTTACTAAAGTTATCAAACTATAATGAGCATTGTATTAAACGTATACCTGATAATATATACACTTGTTCAGCTAGATAAAAAATATTATTTTTATAGTTGTATTAATAGTTTACATTTACTTAAATAATGTTTGATGGTTTATTGTTTACCAAATAGTAAAACATTTTATTTAAGATTTTAATATTTGGTATAATTGTAATATTCTGATTTAGATTTAACATTTTTTAGAAATGCTTTTTTTAAGGATTAACTTTGTATAAGATTTTTAAGGAAAATAAATGATTTTTTTAGTATTTTAGATCAAATGGATTGAATTGTCGGAGACAGATCAAGTTTGGTAATTTTGTTTTTAGCTTCGATGCGAAGCTGAGAAGATATTGGTTTTACTAAGATTTGTTTTTTTTGTGCCTGTTACCACTTTTTCTCAGCTCTCATCGAACGGATTTCTTTCAACGATACATCAAAAGATCACAAATTGTATCTAGTTAAAGATATTACCCTTAAAAATTGAATAAATTTCCCTCGTTCCCTGTAAATGAGGGAAACCTCCAAAAAAATTACAAATTTAAAATTCGCTAATTTTCGAATTTTTTTTTACTAAAAACTCCCGTAACTTTTTCAAAAATGAACATATCAATATAATTATTTTTTTATAGATGCTTGATATCTTTACCTATCATTTGGTATATTTTTTTTCTAAATCTGACTCTTAACCTGCCCACAGGGGGGGATTTAAAATGACAACTTTTTCAACATAACTTTTGAATATGTTCCGGAAGGTCTGACACTTTTATATATATCTTAAATTAAAGCTAATATAATGTACTTTATTATGAAAAACTGGCGAAAACTAGATTTTTCAAAATATTATTTTATTGAATTTATTTTTAAATAATATTTAACATATTTGTTTACAAATTCCTAAAAAAAATGATTTTGGTAAAATAGTTTAATGTTTGAATTTATTAAAAAGTAAAATTCAACAAATTTAAGTATTAAAATTTGATTAGTTCAACTACTATTACATTAAAAATTAATTAACGAATAAAAATGTTAGTGATATTTTACACCATTATATACTAGTGAACGAAATATTATCTCGTACTTTTGTAGTTTATAAAATAACCTAATCTTTAATGACATAGATTTCATTGATTTGACAGTTATTATACGGTCATCGATATTTAAAAGTGGATTTTAACTTATTTATCCACCAGACTTCTCCTAATTTTATAATTTTATTGAAGTTTACATTTGGAACTTAATATAGATAGAAGCTACTCGTACTTGCTCTATTTTTCACAGCACTTTTTTAAACAGAACGGGGCAGCGCGGTATATACACGACGCAGTGAATATAATAATCACTTGCTACTTGGTGGAAGACTATTAAAGTAATTATTAGTAATTAAATAAAGATGGGTACAAAGTAAATTAATTAATAAAAATTGTTATCATGTAGTAGATAATTTTTAAAAACCTTTAAAAGTAAGATATTAAAACTAAAAAAAAAAAAAATTAATTACATAACAATACTCCTTAAACATCTTTAAATGGATGTAATTAAAAAATTTGGGTTCTTTAAATTCAAAAAAATAAATAAATAAATAAATATGTCGCACTTTAAACTACAAAAATGTGAACATACTCTTCAAAGGTAGGGGGGATTAATCTAAAAACTGATATCAAATTTGAGTTCTGTGACTATTAAAACTTAATTATTGATAGTTTTTTGGGTAACATTTGAGTATTATTAGTTTTGGCTAGTTTTTTTTTTATTTTGGAATACTGTGCGCTTTTGGTAGTAATTTAACGAGTAATTTGTGCTGGTAATAGTTGAGTACCTTTAGTTATATTACCCTTTTGGGTTACGTTTGGCAGTTATGATTGTGCTCTGAGAAAAAAGGTTTTTCTTGAGTCAGTAAGGAATCAAGGGATTTGATTTTTCATAAAGCTAAAAGGTAATGTTATTAGTGATACATCAACAATAACTATTACTCTTGTAGATTAACATTGCATTGATTTTTTTTATTTCATTTGTGTGACACACTACGCAATTATAAAAGTTAAATTAGTAGTAATACTAATTTAGTATTAGGTAAAAAATAAAAGCAATTCTATTGTATATTATGTATTTAAACAATCAGTTAATTAAATCGTTATATACATTTTTATGAATATAATCTAAGTGTTTTAAACAGTAGCATAATTTTGAAATAAATAATAACCATATACCAATTATAAATTAATGATAGAAACATATAACTATTTTTTTAAACTAATTTAGATGAAATAAAACTAGACAAATTTAAACTTTGAATTTGATAACTGTATCAAATTAACGTTAACTACTTATGGTAATCATCATTTATATCTTGTCTAAAATCTAATTATAAATCAAATAAAACTTCAAAAATAACAAATATATAAGAAAAAATTAATCGAAACCTTTTTTTTAAATTTCACGAATAACATTATGATTTTCTTAGCATATTTAACATATTTACAATGTATAATATATGTTGTACAAATAGTCACGTTTTCAAATTTAACAAACTATCTTTGTATTGTTCTTATAAAATAATTTCATGAAAAAAATTGTTGGCAGTATATTGAAAATACCTATTGCTAATGCTTTTCATTAATTTGTAGTTATTGTTCATTAATCAAACTTATTGTTATTGTAACCAATGATGTTATTTAAAAAACATATCATAGTAAAAAATACAACATTTTATTAGTAATACATGCAAAATAATAGATATTCTGTGATGATGAATCAAATTATATTTTACTTATTTATTTGATAATTTCATTTTAAAACTATAATTTAAATATTTTTATGATAACAGAAGTATTTTTTTTAAACATTTTTCCGAGAGTCCTGAAAAAAATATCTATTTAAATAACATAAATATGAAAAGGGAGGAAAAGTTGACACCCATAAACTTTAAATAAATATTACAAAAATATATTAATTTTAATTGTAGGTAAAAATATAGATATGGATTTAAAAAATGGTATATTTTAAGTGATAAGTTCAAGAAATCTTAATTTATCACAGTTAAAGTACTGTTATAAATATTACTTTACAATATGAAACTAAGTTTGAATATATAAAAGACAATTAATTAACTATGCCTCATGCAACATCTGAAATGTCTAGATCTGTTTTAAATTAAAAAAAAATCTTGTTCTATTAACCCTTCTTATCCCTGAAATCAGTATCAACTTGAATTTTTTTAATGGAAACATACAAATTCAACTAGTTATAAAATTGGAATATGATTTAAGAAAATGACTGATTGTTAACAACTTTTGAAACATTATTTTAGAAGATATTAAAATTTTTATGTCTAGGTAGAGGAGTAGTGTAAATACCTAATAATAAAAATAATCAGGCCTGCAACATAGGTTAGTATTTTTTAAAATACTGGTTCACAAGTTGTTATCAATTAATTACTTTTTAAATTAAGATGATTTTCTATGTCGTGTAATGGATAAATATATAATCTTCTATTTAAAAAACTTTAATAGATATCTGTTAAAAAGAAAATTATTATTTTTTTAACTATTAGTATGAAGATTTTGAAAAGGAAAAAGAATGATATATCATTTTATATTTTTGAAGACATTGTATGAGGTATAGTTAACCAACCTGTGTTTTAATAGCATAATCAGTAAATTTAATATTTATTACTTATAAAATGGCTAATTACAATTATTTCTGTACGGGTATATATTCGATGTTTATAAGTTGACTTATATCCTCTAGTTTAGTTATTACAGTATTATCAGTTTTGTTTTCAATTATATCACGAACATTTATTATTTTTTCGTGAAATTCAGGGAATCCTATTATTATATTGAGCATTATTTTTTGATTATTTTCATACGTTTTTGATGATTGTCTGTTAAAATATTTAAATTTATTAGATTCTGCAACCGTATTTTCAAATTTATTAGCGATTTCATGTTGTATTGATCGAAGTTTTGACATTACGTCATCAATTGAATGAAGATTTGCTAAATCAAATATATAATTATTTAGTTCTAGAGATGAACTATTTTGTATTTCTCGCAAACAATTTTTCATTTGAGTGAAAGCATTTACAATTGTGCGTAAATGTTTCTCCGTATTTTTATCAAATTCTATTGCTTTATAGCCATATATGCATAACATGAAAATATACTTATATGTACGATTTTTAATGACGTACATTGCTACATTATAAACATTATCTACTATTTTTTCATTATTGTTTTGTGTAATTGAGTAAAGATATAAAGATTTTAATGGAACTAAACTTGTATATTTATTCCTAATAAGTTCTTTTCCAGCGTAATTCCATATTGAACTTTTGACCAACAAATTCAATTTGTCGTAAGTCACTCCGAAAATGTGTTCAATAACCAAAACTATCATTAAAGTGTATACTATCTTCATAATTATGATATTTAAGGTCAGAGAATGAGAATTTATTTTCATTAAAATAATTTTTATGAATAGTTTATACGATTTAAACAACTCAAATCGATTTGTAAATACGTGTATTCTGTAACATAAGGTTAATTAATGTATAAATTTGGCAACATTGTCTTAAAAAATTTATCATAAGCATTGTCTGTTAAATAAAAAAAGATGCATGAAATGTAAATATAAATGTTTGTTATTATGAACGGTAAATTTTGTTGTGGATGAACGGATAAAATCACAATGGAATTTAGAAAATCATTAAAATTTACTGAAAATTTGGCGGAAAATTCTTCAAAAAAAAAAGTGCAAATTTATTTTACTGCTACAGTTGGATAAATCTGAGAGGAGTGATGATGTTGTGTCTAGTCAACACGGTAAACTATTGACAGATACGATGTGTGATTTGCTGGCCGTCAAATTGCGGAAAAACGAACTTGATCATTACTCTACTGACCGATATTAATGGGCTTCGATTACATTTACTCGAAATGGTCGTATCAGTGAAAGTAACAACTACTAATGGAAGTTTTACACGGTGTCTAAGGAGTGCAGTTGTTTACCCATGAAAACGGGAACGGTGGACAACATCCTATCCAACAATGTTGTCATGGAAAAAACAAAATTAATGTGTAATTATTTCACGCGGGGACGTCGACACCGGTTTTTCCTCTCGCAAAAATACCGTCGCGAATACAATAATAAATGTTGCGTGACTGCACAAATGTGTTGGTGTTGTCCCGTCAGGATTGAGTTGACCTACGACATGTGTACAATGAATACGTGTGTTGTTCAATAGTTTATAGCAGTAGACTCTAACAGCAGTATGGCTAGTTCATTCAATAACACTAATGCTTAAGTAATAAGTGCCATAGTTCGCCAGTATCGTTTGGTATAAACGTTCTTGTATATCAGATATTAAATTATATTTTATTAAATATATTAATTAAAATTTTGTCAATATCAGTATACCAGAAAACCAAAGACGATATTTAAATTATTTCTTTTAATAAATTAAAAAAATATGTAATTTATACAGTCCTCAAGAATAAAAATGATTTAAAAAATCTAGCACAGTGGGGTCGTGGCACAGTGGGGACGTGGCATCCAGTATAGATTTAATCTGACAGTGATTAAAATCACTATCATAAAAAACGATTCGATGCGAATCTATAGATAGTGTTTAATTTTAAAAAAATAATGGATTATTCAAAAAACATGATCTCCTATTTCATTTTTTATATTCTGATTACAAGTTTTATGATTTATAAGTATCATATATGAATAAATAAATATATATATATATATTAATAATATATAAATATAAATAGTACTTATCTTAAAAAAAATATAATGATCCGTACATTTTTCAAAAAGTTATAGCATTATAATTTCAAAAATATAAAAGAGAATTTTTTTCCAAAATAAAGTATAATTAAATAAGCTTTAATTTAAAATATATATATATATATAAGTGTCAGTATTTCCGGAACATTTTCAAAAATTAAGTTGAAAAAGTTCCACTTTCTATATGCAATTTTAAGTTTTGAACCCCTCTGTATTAAAGAAAATGGTCTGATTTAAAAAAAAAGTATGTCGAACGAAAGAAATATATAAATATTATTTCTCATAAAAAAATTGTTTTGGTCCATACATTTATCAAAAAGTTATAGCATTTTAAAGTTACAAATGTAAAATATAAAATCGAGAATTATAACACAAAAATAATTTGCGGTAGCCATTTTCACCGTGAAGACAAAATAAAGTCCAACATTTTTTTTTTCCATAATAAAGTANGACAAAATAAAGTCCAACATTTTTTTTTTCCATAATAAAGTATATTACACAAGCTTTAATTTAAGGTATATATAAAAGTGTCAGTATTTCCAAAATACTTTAAAAAGTTAAGTTGAAAAAGTTAACTTTTTTGAAAAAGTTGTCATTTTGAATCCTCACCTGTGGGCAGTTAAAGGGTCAGATTTATAAAAAAAATATATCAAATGATAGGTAAAGACATTATGCATCTAAAAAAAAAAATTAAATTGATTTGTTCATTTTTGAAAAAGTTATGGCAGTTTTAAGTAAAAAAAACTCAGCACAGGGGGGTCGCGGCACAGTGGTGACGTGACATAGTTGGATCAAGTATAATGATATCTGACAGTGATTAAAATCACTATAAAAAAAAAACGCTTCAATGCAAATCTTTAGATAGTGTTTAATTTTAAAAAATTGGTGTATTATTCCAAAAGATACATAATCTGTTAGTTCCTTATTAAAATTCTCATTAAGATAAAGTATGTCGAATGAAGAAAAGATTATTAAAAAATATTATTTCTCATGAAAAAATTGTATTGATCCATTCATTTTTTAAAAAGTTATAGCCTTTTAAAGTGAAAAATGTAAAATATAAAATCGAGAAATTTCACACAAAAATACCATTCAGTAGCCGTTTTCACCATGAAGACAAGTCCAAAGGTCAAATTAAAGTATATTACATTAGCTTTAATTTAAGATATACAGGGTGTTCAGTAAGTCAGGAAACGGGTATCTATTGTTCTCATTGTTACAAACAATGAGAACAATGGAAACCCGTTTCCTGACTTACTGAACACCTGTATATAAAAGTGTCAGACCTTCCGGAACATTTTCAAAAGTTAAGTTGAAAAAGTTAATTTTTTGTGAAAAAGTTGTCATATTAAATCCCCCCTGTGGGCAGATAAAGGGTCATATTTATAAAAAAAAATACATCAAATAATAGGCAAAAACATCATGCATCTATAAAAAAAAAATCATATTGATTTGATCATTTTTGAAAAAGTAATGGCAGTTGTAAGAAAAAAAATTGAAAAAATTTCGAAAATTAGCGATTTTTAAATTTGTAATTTTTTTGGAGGTTTCCCCTATTTACGGGGAACGAGGGAAATTTTTTCAATTTTTGAGGGTAATGTCTTCGACTAGATACGATTTGTGATCTTTTGACGTATCGTTGAAAGAAATCGGTTTGGTGAGTGCTGAGAAAAAGTTGTAACAGACACCAAAAAAAAAACATTATAGTAAAATTAATACCTACTCAGCTTCGCATCAAAGTTAAAATTACTATCAAAACTCATAAATTTGTAAAAATAATGTTGATTAATAATCATTTAATTGGCTAAAGTATTTCAATAAAAAAATTAAATGAAAAAAATTGTTTTATGTGTTATATTGATTAATAACTAATTTATAATAAAATTGTATTTTAGTTATTTATAATACTATCAATAATGTCTTTTATATAAATATATATTTACATGTATATTTAACTTTTCATAGAGTGCATCTTCGGAGCCATAATTACAGGTACGAGGTTGTAGCTATACTGCCAACTTGTTTTGTTTCCTATTCTCTAATGTAATTTTTGATGTTGTTTTTTTTGTCGTTTTTATTATTTTTGTTTTTCATTGAATGTAAGAAATTAATAGAAAATATTTTATTTCAATAACCGAGTACAGAAAAGAATAAAGTACATTTTATAAGAAAATGTGTTAATTATGTAATTGTCATAATTTTCTCTTAAATTTCATAGTGTAAAAATTCGAAAAGTAAAAACTAAATATTTTATTCATTAAAAATTAATAATATAGGAGATAATAGTAAAAACTATTTCAAAATGCTTTTTTGCAACGAAAAAAAATGTATTTAACTTTTATTTGCACTCATCGATATATACATTATCTAGCTTTACTAACTTGATTTTTAACATTTCTGATCACTTTACTATTGTACTTTTTCATGAAAATACGGCTGTCGGTATGTGAAGAGCTTTTTTTACATTTAAAAGTATTTTTGGGCATAACTGCTAATAGTATGTAGTAATAATTTTAACATCATTCTACATGAGATAAAAATCATAAAACTGTTGATTTTTTTGTCAATGTTTAAAAAAAGATAAGGAAAAAGTGCATAAAAATCAATTCGCCTGATGGGATGATTTGTACTCTGTACCTTAGTTAAATAGTCTCACTCGTTACCATCTGGCAATCGACTACTGTATTTGCAAGACGACAAAAAGGACAATTTTAGCAAGTTCAAATTTACAAAATCGTTTTCTCGACCTGGAGAACATTAAAAATAATTTAAATTGTATATATAATGTAGATTAGCTTTATATAACTTTTATAAAAATCAGTGTTCTTATGACTTATAGTAAAATAACCCAACCTCCAAAACAATATTTTAAAATAAAAAAATCAATTAGTTGAACATTTTTTAAAAAGTAATTACAGTGTTCAATTGATATTATAAAAAAAAAATAAACAAAAGAAAAGTTTATTGATATAATTATAGGCCTTTATACATAATTATAAAAAACGTATAAAATTAAAAAAAATATCCTTAATTTTTTTTTTTAATTTTGTAGACGTTTAAAGTAAAAATAAAAATCAGTTTTGCAGGAACAAATATTAGGGATTGGTCCCTAACCATCCTTACATAGCAGATCAATGAAGTTTACATTATTTTATCTAAATAGGTTTTTATATAATAATTTACTAAATTTTTCTGAAATTTACGATATTTTTAAGAAAAATCGTACTTTTTGCTTTAACTTTAGTGATAAATTTTTATTTTTTGAAAATAAAGTGTATTACATAAGCTTTAATTTATGTAAAGATGTCAGTATTTCCGAAACATTTCCATAAGTTATTTTGAAAAAGTGAACTTTTCGAACAAAAGTTGCTATTTTAAAATCCATCCTGTGGGCAAATAGTATGTCTTATTTGTCACGACTATCGTCGTGGAACGCAAATTAAATGACACAAGTTTTAGTTCTACTATAAAATGGCGTGAAGCCGTATATTGTTTCTTCTAAATATAGTCACAAAAATAAGAACACAATAAAATATACACTGTACTCAATACTTAATCACAAAACCGACAGTAAAATCGTATGTGCAACGAGTTGACAGGTGTAACTTTGATAGATCCGTATCGTACGGGGTCACGGAGATTACTTAACGTATATTTGCGGCGGGTCGTTGATGAACGTGCGGCACTTGCTGGACTTTGTACCGTGACGTATCGCACGCGGTGTTAGTCAGTCAAACTACCATATGCACGTAGTTGGGCGGCGGCTGATAAAGGTGTCACGGGTCGCGGGGCTCCGTGTCATATTTCAAAAAAGAAATATAGCTAATAAAAGATAAATACTTACCAATAAAACTATCAGTTATTCTACCAATACGCATTTCAATAAATTCATAAAATTTTTATTGATTGTATTTATTTGTATTTATTTCTAAATTTTCTATTAATATATTAATTTGATAATAGAAAAGATATGTAATTTGTATTTGTGTTATTATATTTATAACGTTAAGTATTTATACTAAATTTATGGCTAAGTCATTCTTAAATTATTATTAAGTTCAGAGTTGGAGTTTTTAATTATTTATATTAATTAAAATTTTGTCAATATCAGTATACCAGAAAACCAATATTTTTTAAAATTTAATTGAAAAAGCTTAACATGTATGCGACATTGCTTTTTTGAATCCCACCTGTGGGCAGGTTTAGAGTCATATTTTCAAAACAATTGATATCAAATGAAAGGGAAACATCTAAGATTTCAATATAAAAAAAATTATTTTAGTTTGTTCATTTTTCAAAAAGTCATAGCAGTTTTCAGTATTAAAATATTTCTTGTTAAACAATGATTTTTACATAAAAATTACAGTTTTGTTAAATTCAACGGCCATTTTCCCATAGAAGATAAGTCGTCGGGACAAAAATTTTTTTTTAATTTTTAGTATGTAACATAAGCTTTAATTTGACATATGTTTAAAGAACGTAGAGTATTTCCGGAACATTTACAAAATTTAAGTTGAAAAAGGTAGTTTTTGTAATAAGTTGCTATTTTAAATCCCCCACAGTGAGCAGGTTAAGTATTAGATCTTCAAAAAAAATATATAAAATAAAAGGAAAATATCTAAGGTTTCAATATAAAAAAAATTATGAAATTTACCGATTTTAAAAATTGTAATTTTTTTGGAGACTTCCCCCATTTACAAGCACATATTATTCATCATACATATGACTATTTATAAAAATTTAAATGGGGTCAATTTTTCAAAAATTTTTAGTGTTAAATTAATAATTAATTTAACACTAAAAATTTTTGAAAAAATTANATATTATTCATCATACATATGACTATTTATAAAAATTTAAATGGGGTCAATTTTTCAAAAATTTTTAATATAGGAAATTATTTTAGAGTATAAGTCATTAATTGTTTAAAATTTTTAAATTATTGATGACATATGTTATTTTAAATTAAAATACAATGTTTAAAAAGTGGATTATAAAAATTCATTTATTCTAAATTTCATTTTTAACTTTCATGCGATGATGAGAAGGTACTAATTTTACCATGATGTGTTTTTTTTTGTGTCTGTTACCATTTTTTCTCAGATCTTACTGGACCGATCTTGATGAACAATATGTCAAAAGATCACAAATCGTATTTTGTTAAAGACATTTTCCTTAAAAATTAAAAAATTTCCCTCGTTCCCCGTAAATGGAGGAAATTTCCAAAAAAAATACAATTTTTAAAATCGGTAAATTTCGTCATTTTTTTCACTTTTTTTTCTTACAACTACCATAATTTCTTTAAAAATTAACAAATCAACTTAATTTTTGAAAATGTTCCGGAAATACTGCATCCTTTAACCATATATCAAATTAAAGCTTATTTCATGTACTACAAAATGATACACGGGTGTCGTAGTTCAAAAAATTATTTTTTTATGTTAAAATTTTAGATTTTCGATTTTAAAATTTCAATTTTAAATTGCTATAACTTTTCGAAAAATGTATGTATCATACAATTTTTTTTTTCTAAATATCTTATAAGTACATCTTTCATTTGACATACTTTTTATTAAAATTGGACAATTTCCCCTTATATAGGGGTCGTTTAAAACTTGAAACATTGTATAAAAAATAGAACTTTTTCAATTTAACTTTTGAAAATGTTCCGGAAATATTCACTGTTTTATTTAATCTTAAATTAAATCTTATATTATATACTTTACTATGACAAAAAAAATTAAAAATATAGATTTTCTTCTTGGTAAAAATGCCTTCCGTATTAAAAAATATGCTATTTTTGTGTTAAAATTCCAAGTATTTTATTTTAAAAAATTTTACAAGGGGAATACACTGACTTTCATGAATATTTTATAATTTAATTGTCATAAAATAAAGTTCATTAAACATAAGAATTTAAATTTTTTTACTTTTTAAAGTCGAAAAAGTAATTTTTAAACTTGAATTAGCTTAAATTGCTAATTTTATCATGCAACGAAAGCGACGAACAGTTGCCGAATCGGTAACACTTGTGTCTTTCACGCTTAGAGTACGAGGTTGATTAACTGCCTGTGGCAATAAATATTTTGCCTTTTTTTTTGAGTTAGAAAAAAATGTTCAAATCATTTGATTATTATCTCATTTATATTCAATAACTTGAATAAATATCTAGGATGCCATTACTATAGTCTCGTCTCGTGAGAAAAATTTCTTATTCGTGTTAATATTATTTTACTATGTGGTTTTTTTTTTATTTTCCTCACTTAACATTCACTTCACCTACTTTTTTCAATGATACGTCAAATACTTATAATTCGTATTTAGTTGAAGATATTACACTCAAAAATTAAAAAAAATTCCTTAATCAAATAAAAAGTTGCTAAACCAGCTTTATCCATAAAAACTATTAAAATCATTCATTTCTAATAATTTTAAAGTATTTATTGTCAAATTATATTTGATATGATAAAAGTATTCAATTACAAAAGTAAATAATTTTATTTTGTAATTAATTATTTTTTCAACTCTATTTGTGTGTGCTACTACTAGGCTATAATATTCCAAATTTGTTTGTTACATGTTTCTATATAAATCATAAATCTAAAAAAAAATTATTTTTAGATTCACATGAATATAGCAATGGATGAAATGAAAAATGGACTGTAAATAATAATTATAAAATTTCCTGAATGGATATTAATCTTAACAATACCATTTTTTTCTATTTAATGATTACAATTTTAAACTTGCAAGTTGAGCTAAAAGTTATAATAATAAATTATTTTTTTTTATTAAAACTTTCACTAAAAGGACAAAAAAAAACATATTAACATATTAAAACTCAAAATCAATAATAATTTGAAAATAATTAATTACAAAAATTATATAATATGTAATTAAAAATATTTATATTATATTTTTGAATCAAAGAATTATTAATCTGTATATAATTACAAAAGCAATACCATCTTCTATGATGGTATTGCTTTTGTAATTATCTACCAATTTCTTAGAATTAAACATTATCTACAGATTTGCATCGAATCGTATTTTATGATAGTGATTTTAATCACTGTCAGATTAAATTTATACTGGACCCAACTATGCCACCTCCCCACTGTGCTAGGTTTTTTTTATATTAAAAATTAATAAAAGTTATATAATAAGAACATTAAATTTCCTAGTTTTTTGAAGTGTAAGTATAGGAATTTATGTGTAGAATGCTATAAATTCCAATAAAACATAAATAAATTAAAACTAAATTGTATTATTTTTTTACTTAAATTATATTCTAATAAAATTATAAACATGATTTTAGAAATGAATTTATCTACATCGAAAAATTTAAAAACTGTACATTTAAACTAATGTTGTAGATGTTACTTTAAAAAAAATATTTCATTTTGAATTTCTGCTGTAACAGCTGTGTAAATTTCTTAAATTAAAAGAATATTTCTTATTTAATGTTTGAGATTTGGTTTAAAAAATAGTCATTATCTTATAATTTGCTAAAACATTTTTTCATCAAGTATGTGGCAGAATTGTTTAATTTTTTTTATATTGAGTAATATCACTTTTCAACAAACAAAGGGAAATGATTATTTAAATGAAGTCAATAACATGCTTACACATCCTTATTGGAAATATTCTATTGAGAATCTCAAAATGTATTTGGATCAAGATTCACATTCCTTATTATTTTACGAAAAAACTACGGAAACAGTTACTATTGACGCCTCCACTTTTTTTCCAGACTCTACTACTGAATTTGTTACAAAAGATAATTTCCAAGAAAAGATAATCCAGTACCATTTATTATTAAGCTGCTACTATGGATTTGGATTAAAGATCCATTTATACTATTTAACAAAATTATGTAAATTATGTATACAAGTCACTCCTATACATTGCGAAATTCCATTAAGATATCTAATTATAGATTATATTGTGGAACTTATTAAAATGAAAAATTCTTTACTTTATTTTTCTCGATGGTTGGACGATAAACCTAAATTAACGAACTTAGTTCACACAATCATCGATGATCTCATTATAATATCTAAAAATGTAAGTATATTAACAACCGATAATACTATAATTAAACTAAATACATTATATAAAACGATTAATAAATTTTTTGATATGCATATGAACATTAAAATTGATGAAAATAAAGTCAATGCTCGAAATATCATAGAAGGAATTATGCTAAATCAAAATTTTTCATTAAATATAAAAGTTTTTGAAATTTTAAAGTACTTCGGAGAAAATATAAATATGAATATTTATACTAATCGCCAATATGGTTTCATTTATGATAGAGTAACATTTGAGTGTATTGGAGTGACAAAACATGTAGAATTTCCAATTACTCCACCTCCGAAATATAATAAAGATGATGATGATGATGTCTACATAATGAAATTTTAAGTAGGATAATTGAATCTATTATTTCAGAAACCCATTTTGTACACGATTTCCAAATTTAAATAAATTATCAATATTATATTATTTGATTCTTTAAAAAATTATTACTCTCTCATAATTATGATATTAATAATTAAAACTAATGTTTGATAAAATATATATTTTATTTTATATTTCAGCAATCTATAAATTTGACATTGGTGATTTAAGAAAAATAAAATTTATATATTAAATAGCATATTATATTTTTGGTTTTTTATATATATTTAGTGTAAAAATTAGTAAAATAATATTTTTAATTTATTTTTTACTCAACCTGTAATTTTATATGATAGTAATTTTAACCACTGTCAGATATCATCTATACTTGTCCCAACTATTCCACACTGTGCCGCGATCCAAATGTGCTACCGTTTTTTATTAGTCTTACCTGATATATTATTTTATAACCCTCACCTACTTACTAAAATTTCTCCCCCTTTCACTTAGTTTGTTGGAGTCCTGATTTTTTCAAAACTCCTTATATTTTTTGACAATATTTTGAGCCGGTTGTTGACTTGACTATACATCATTAGTCACCTCTTACAACTGGCAGAAGGGCCGTGAAGGTATTGTTATCCCAATTGAGTATATTATTGCTTATCTATATTATTAAATTTTAGAATTTAAAACATTATTACTATATTATAAGGATATTATTTAATAATACCAACGTTTGATAAAACATATATTTTATGAATAAAAAGATGAAAAGAATAATCAAACAAATATTATGTATTTTATTAAGTATTTAGTATTATCTCGTTTACGAACAAAAATCTATGGTATTTAAAAGTTATCTATTATCTATCACTCATCATCATGCTATATATTAGTTATAGGTGCGTACTTTTTCCATTAATATTATTCACGCTTAAATAAGCGATTGTAATTAGACATCAGTACTTTGTACTATGTTACAAAATCGTAAATATTGCAGCTAAGCAAATTTTTAAATAAATGATATTTATAAGAACAAGTAATTAAGTTATAAATGAAAAATTTCCATTAAAATAAACTTGTGTTTCTTTATTAAATTCAGATGTATATATTTACTGTTATAAAAATATAGTAACGTGTAATTTATAATTTTAGCTCTGATGCTAAGCTGAAAAGATATTAATTTTACTATAATGTGTTTTTTTTTATGTCTGTTGCCACTTTTTCTCAGCTCTCACCGGAGCGATACGTCAAAAGATCATGATCGTATCTAGTTGAAGACAATGTCCTTAAAAATTAAAAAAATTTCTTTGTTATGATTTTAAAAATCAGTCAATTTTGATGTTTTTTTCTCTTTTTTTTTTTGAAATTATAAGTTATAGAACTTATTGAAACATGAACGAATTAAAATAATTTTTATTTTATATTGAAACATTTGGTATTTCCCTTCTATTTGATATAAATTTTTTGAAAATCAGACGCCTTATCTGCTTACAGGGAGGATCAAATTAGCAACTTTTGCACAAAGATATAACTTTTTCAACTTTTTTTGAAATGGATTCAGAAATACTGAGTACTTTAAATATATGTTAAATTTAAGTTTATGATATGTACTATAAATTGAAAAAAAAATTTGCCCGATAAGGTATCTTCTACGTTCTTGAAGCAATACCTCACAGTAGTTCCAGGACGTCCAACACTATGTCGACCATGGAAAAATAATAATAATAATAAAAAAAAAAGTATCTTCTACATGCAAAGCTTGCCGTTGTTATAAAAACCAGGGGCGTAATTTCAGTTTTTATTTTGAGTGATTACAAGTAGGCCATATATAAATTACAATCAAGATAAGTAGTAAATATTAACCATTATATTAGAAGTATTATTATAATAATAATACTTCTTCTTTTTTCTCGCTTTAATCCCAACTAATTGGGATCGGTTACCCTTATCTTAAACTTCCACTTGACACAATCACCTACGCTCACATATAGCATCCAATTACATCCTTCCATCTTTTTCTTGGTCTTCTTCTACCTCTTCTTCCTTTTACATTCATTTCTATAACTGTTCTTGCAGTTTCCGATTCCTCTCTTCTCATAACATGATCAAACCATCTATGTTTATTTTCTTCAATCTTATCCACGATTGACGCTACACCTGTACTTCCTCTTATATGTTCGTTTGTTATTATATCTTCTCTTGTCACTCCACTCATCCATTTAAGCAGTCTCATCTTTGTAACACTCATTATCTGCTCCCCTTTTTTTTTCAATCACGCTCTTATGGCACGTATAAAAATTAATGAGTTTGTTGGACTTATTTTTTTATATTTGAATAATATAGGGGTGTAACTTTTAATTTTCAAAAAAAAATCTTTTTCTATAACGTAGGATTACGGCTAGCACAATGTTTATCCAAATAACTATTAACTATCGACATTAAATCTGCCATGTTTTTAGAATGGACTGAATATTTTAAACCTAGCAGATATTTAAGCAATAATTTCCAAATTTCTTCAATAACAGAACTTTTTAGTAACTAAAATAAAAAATATAAAAAATAATTATTTTCAATAGTTTGAAATGAGTTTTAAAAAATCAAATGAAAATGCGCGAACGACTCCTATACTATAATAAAAACTAAATGTTAGTACAAACCATAAGTAATGATCTTCAATATATTCTCTTGTAATGGTACTATATTGAACATTAATGTATCTTGTTGCTAATTATGATTAGGACTAATGTTTCTAGATCTTGGTGATATGCATATTGATTTTTAGCTAAAGTACAACATTATTCATATTATTATGCAGAGTGACAACACATTCAATGCTTTCTCCTTTAAGGGATTTCTAAATTTAATATCAAATGCATCAAATTATTTTGACCATATAAAAATTATGATGTATTAAATTTATGATTACAATTTTTAATAATTAAAAACATACAGTATGACTGCTACTTGATTTCTATTTAGATGGTTGTTTGTTTGCATCCAGTTTTCTTCATTTAAGAATTTTTTATGTAATAAACAGGATATTTTTTTCCCAGCTTCAAGTAGAAGTCTTTCAAGACTTCCTTACCTATCTAAATATGTTAGGGAAAATGTTAAATATGATATTAAAAATTATTTTTATACAAGAATAGAATAATTGGTAATATTATATTATTACATATAATATGATGTTATCATTTGTACATGTATGTCACATATCATGATTATACAAGTTCACCAAAACAGGGTTCTCTTATTTAAAATACAAAATAACCCTTTAATTATACAATAAAATCTCCCTCTTGTAGAAATTATTAAGTAACGCCTACACGCAGGGACCCCATTTTAATTAACCAATTAGAATACAAAGCCTCAGCTTCCAGGATCACGGTAGAGATCACTGGGCTACCCCCTTCACACTATAAAAAGCCATTTTTTCCCATCTAAACCAGTTCTTTTGACGATTTTTAAATACACAAAATCTACGACGTCTTACTCAAGATTTCACTCTCCGGGACTTAGTCGATTTTTTTAAATTAACTAAATGACACTTAGAAATTTTAAAGTGAATTTTGTTTTGGTGAATCTTTTAATTTAATTTAATTTGTTCAATCATTAATAATATTTTATAGTTGTGGAAATAAATATCAAATAATATTTTAAACATTACATCTTCTTAAAANCATTACATCTTTTTAAAATTATTTTATTTTATTTTAATAACAAATCCAACCTAACTTTAGATTTTTATTTAATAATAAAAAATTTATTGTGAGCTTTTCTTATTGGGTAGCTAGTCTCGTTACTAATGTCTTTGTTTTAACAAACATCGCGCCGGCAGACAGAGTAAAGGTTGCAACTAGATATTATTCTAGAATTAGGTATATTAGGTTAGAATATATTTGTAAGCCTATGCGTACTGGGTAGCTAGTCTTGTTACTAATGTCTTTGTTTTAATAAACATCACGCCGGCAGACAACGTAGAGAAACTTACGAATATATTATTAGTGTTTAATTTTTATCTTGGTGATTATTGTGCCGCATCCTTTCAAGGCGATTTCTAGTGCCGGGACACATTGGGCCACCACAATTCCGCCTTGATAAATTTTTTACATAGATATAGATATTTCTGAATTTTGTTTTGGCCAGGCCAGAGGAAAATTTAAGAAATATTGGTATCGATCTCTCAATAAAATATACTCTCTCAAAAAAAAATATTTATTCAACAGTTGTAAAAAAAATCAATAAGTAAAAAAATTAAAATTGTATTTATAATAAAATACAGAGTGTTCAAAATCATTTATAAGTAAGACCAATTGTAGACTTTGTGTAATTAAATCATATTATTTAAAGTCTTGAATCGTTTTTTTTTTTGTAAGTAATTATATAGACTATATGACGTTTGGTGCAAATCGTATACTTAGTGTGTTTAATGCGAAAATCAACACTGGATTACTTGAAATATTATTGTATTACATAGAACGTAAGGCAAGTACAATTTAACCTATACTTTCAAACTTCCAACAATCTATTGCGTGATAAACCATTAATAATTAATGAGAGAAGCAATTAATAAGAAAATTAATTTAAATAAAATTGAAGACAATTAAATCTATAAAAAACATAATAATTTACTACCAATCCAATTTGCTAGCTATTTAACTTATGCTTTCTCTGTTTCTTTTCTTTCTTATTTTTTTTGGTTTATTACATTTTCAAAATTTTATTAAAAAATTTTGGTTTGTAAAAAAATTATTTTAACTGCAAAATCTTATTTCTAAGACAGTAAACAAAAGCTTTTACTATTACAAAATGTATTTTAATTAATATTTCTTGTATTTCTTTGAGCTCAAACACGGCTTATATTTATTAGTTTTATGTGTATTTACACTTATATAATCATATTTCTGAATTGAATTTTTTAATTATTAATATTACAATACATTTAATTATTATGATACGAGTGTATACAATTATTCGTTCGTAGTAGCACATCGAACACCGATAATCAATATGTTCACATTGCGACGCGATGTATTTATTACATGTTTTGTTCTTATTTGTTCCGTATCATCGAGTAGTGGAAATTCTCAATAGATTATTTATTTTTATAACTTAATTGCAGTTGGTGGCATTATCCTTATAATTCCAATTCCACAATATTATATCGATTAAAACATTGCATTTACGGTAAAACAAAATTTTGAAAAAAATACAAGTCCAAAAAAAAATTATAACGTTACAAGTCGCGTGGGGGTA